ATTTTGTTTAAAGCCTCATCTGTGTTTTCTTTGTATCAGCAGAGAATAGGATCCCAAGGCACATAGAACTCAGGCAGCCGTCCTGCATATGAGGTCATTAGTGCTTTTGTGTGATTCTCTGTCTGATACATACAATGGGTACAGAGAAGTTCCAATCTGTGCAGAAGCATAGGTCAGTCTCATTCATATTTCCAATTGAATCAGCAATCCAGGCTTTTTCATCTGTGCAGATTGACAACTCGGAGTGCTTGGCACTGGCAGTGATTCTTGACTAACATCACATTTTACGTGATTGAGTCTTCAAAAGCCACTTTCTTCTTTCCAAATGTTGGCCTTTATTACTGCATATGAATCATCTCTTGCTTTTTAATCCTGTGTGGGAATTTCTTTTGGCGTTTTTCAGCTGAAAAATATGAGTGTTGCACAAAAATTAGAGTTATTCAGTTTGAGAGCAACGTCAGGCAGCAGTGCCAGCAAGGTGGTACCTAGATTTGCTGCTGAGCTCTGAATGGTGCCATGTGTTGTACACCTCAAATTACCATTGAGTTGTGTGTATGTGTGTGTGTAATGACAGGATCAAGCCTAGATAGCAGATAACACATTGTTTAGGAGCTGCACTTAGGCCCTGCTTCAGCAGGGTATTTAAACTTATGACTAACGGTCAGTATTCCTATCGAAGTTCCTTCTGAAGTGACCCAGGAATCTCTGAGTGTCAACTGGCAAGGGTTACAGAAGAGTACATGTGGGTTACAGGAATCTTCTGAGCCTGGTATTTATAGGCTAGCTCACCAATAGAGTGACATATGAGGCTGTGAGGGCTCAAATAAAAATCTGTGTCACTCTGTTCATCACAGTCATTGTGAAATGTCGGTACAGATGTTGTGTCAGGAGTGATGTACAGGTTAAACCTCCAAAATCCAGGATTCACTGGTCTGCAGCATCCATGGTCCAGCAGGGGAGTGCGAGTCTTATCCCCAGGAAGTCCCAGCCGGGTGGGGCAGCAATGGGACTGGTGAACCCTGTCCCCGGGGATCCCGGGCGGAGCACAGCAAAAGTGGGGCAACCAGCAAGCCCTGTCCCTGGGGATCCTGGCAGAGCACGGCAGAGACAGGGCAGCCAGCAAGCCCCGTCCCTGGGAATTTCCAGCTGGCTGGAGGAGAAGCGGGGCCACTGCAGCTGGGGAGCCCCAGCCTCGGGGAGCCCTAGCCTAGGCCAGAAACCAAGTCCAAGTCCTGCAGTCTGGAGCACAGTGGCAGTGGGGCCAGAATGGAGCCAGCCACAGGGAGGGGGAGCTTAGTGCGAGGCTGGTGGTAGGGGACATTCCATGATCTGGCAAACTCCCTCATTCAGGCTGAGCCAGGTCCCAAGGGTGCCAGACAAAGGAGGTCCAGCCTCTACTATACTGAAAATATCTTCTTAAAGTCTAGATCACCAGAAAAAGTAAAGTACTTATCTGGCTCTCATCCACCAGTCCTGGCTGTCAGTGTCCTGTGCTGTTACTTAGCTCTAATTTACCCCTAAATGTCTTCTAAGAGCCCAGTAAGCAGTGGAAGTGTTGGAAATACCACTAAGCATAAGCAGGGGTTTTATGCTTTACCATACATTATTAAGCAGCACTGCAAGCTCTGTTTTATTTATTCGCCTTGGTGAAATAAAAATAAAGAGACCCACTCCTCACAATACTGACCTCCCATGGTTCGGCAAATTCTCTGGTTTGGCACCCATCATATCCCGAAGGTGCCAGACTAGAGAGGTTCAACTTGTATCTCTACAGAGAAGGCGAGGCCTGTACTGCCAGAGAGCTTATCCCCAGCAGTCACAGACAAGTCTGCTCCATGCTAAAGGCAGGTGGGGGTGATGATGAGGGTGCTCACCCTCCTAGGTACTTAGGAGAGTGTCACAGTTATTCCCATGCTTAAAGACAGGCATGTGCTTAAGGACCTCACTATCTAGTACAGAGAGTAGGAGAAGCACAGATGCTGATTATCCCATCGGCAGGTGTTGATTGCGTGTGTGTGTTCTCTCGGTGTGCTGCACTGGCCCTGCTCAGATAACCTCTTAGGTAGGTTCTGATCAACTGCCCGAAAGACCACAGACTCCATTCAGCGACAAAGGCACTTGGCCAGGTTTATTGCCGACAAAGCATGGCATTAGTGCGCTACAAGTAATATATGTATGCCCATGCCAATGAATGGAGGGACTTTCTGTTCCCCCCTCAACCAGCAAAGGAGATCCCGTTTTTGGCTCCTCCTTTATATGCTGATACAAAAATGTAATGCATGGTGCCTCTTACATGGTTAGTTACCATGCTTTAGCTTGTACTTGTTGGTTCAATCAAAACATTGCTATCCATTGCTCTTTCAGACTGACCTTCTCTTTAAGTGGGGCCAGTGTGTCCATGTATTGTCTTTGTATCGGGGTGTTCTGGTACTTCTTTTCTGGGATGTGTTTACATGAAATCTTCCCCCAAAAGTTTTTGTGCAAGAGCGCGTCCACACTGCATAGATGCTCTTGCACAAGAAAGCGCTGATTGCCATTCACAGAATGACCATCAGAGCACCTGTGCTTTTTCTGATAGGGGTCTCTTGCACAAGAAACCTCTGGTGTCCATGCACACACACCTTTTTGCACAAGAGCTCTGACTTCTGACGATCTACTGTACTCTTTCTTGCACAAAAATGTGCTTGTAGTGTGGACGTGCCACGAGTTTTTTCCCCAAAATGGCTGGTTTTGCACAAAAACTCTGCAGTGTAGACGTAGCCTTGGAGTGCTTATGCCAACTCTGTTTTAGCCAAGTTTATGTGAAACTGCACCAAGCATCTGCTTTGTAACAGGGCTTAACTTTTCTCACAGACTAACTTTTGCTAACTTTGCTTTATATCAGCAGTACCTGGCTATTTAAATGGAGGCGTTAGGCCCTATACTGGGCCCTTTACACCAGGCCTCATCCCTCAGGCTCTCTCCACTACATCCCCCCAAATACGTGCTATTAATAACCACAGGAGGCAAATATGTTGATTCCTGAATCCATGAGTCTGATCCAATGACTTCTCACTGATTTCAGTGGGCAGACTCCCACTGACTTCATTGTGATTTAAGTTAGGGACTAAAATCACTGGAGTTTTCAGTATTATTACTGGACATTCAATATTTTATAAAAGTGCTTTGGGGCAATAAATGGCTAGCTGCCCAGCACGCAGCATGGATGTGTCTGTAGGTCTGTGTGTGTAGTGACTATTGGAACTCATTACTCAGCTCTGCAGAATGTTAACCAGTTAAACAGGTGTTGCAACAAACAGGGTCCTATAATGCTGAGTGACAGTGAAGGATTTAGAAAAAAATCACTGAAATGGTCTTTTTGGGGTAGAAATGGCATCCAAATCACTATCAGTTATGCCTCAAGAGACTGGCTTTCATTACACAACATATGTTACTGTGAACAGTTAATATGATCCTAATCATAGCTGATCTGCCTGCACAGAAGAGGAAAACTTGAGATTTGCCTGATGTTAGCTTATTTAAATTCTTGACAACTGTCTGCAAACATGATAAAATGCCTTACTGTTGATGACAACAGCCTGAGGGGATGAGTTTTGCCTGAAGGGAAGTAGAGTGAACCTTGCAGTATACGCTGTTAAGTACATTCATTAATAATAGGCATCACAAGGGATTGCACATGCCAACCTCTCAGTTAGTTGGAAAAAAGTTGATATATTTGCTACTGACAGAGATAGGAGAAGATACATTCATAGAATGGCCAGTGAACATTAGACAAATCCCTACCAGGCCTAAAATACTAGCTGACCCACCACAAAAAAAAATTTAAGTAGAAGAACGGAACTAATTGCAATTGAAGTCACAGGTATCCTGATATAGATCTTGACCCACCACAAAAAAAAATTTAACTAGAAGAACGGAACGAATTACAATTGAAGTCACAGGTATCCTGATATAGATCTTGAGAGGGAACAAGAGGTTTTTAAATTAATTTTAAACTGCATGACTGATTAAACGTCCTCAATAGAAATCTCTAAAGAGAAGTTGAGGGGAAAGTGTATGTATGAAGGGAGGGGAGCGTTGATCCACACTCTAAAGCATATGAGGAATCATACTATTTCATTCTCTAAAAACTTGGCGATCACAGAACACACAAATATCTTAATATACTCTGCATAACATCTCCAATGGTGTGGCCCCAGTACAACATATCAGTTAACTGCTACAACCCTGACATATAAAATGAATAGAGGCTTGTATTACCTCATGTACAGAATAGCTTCCTATATAGAGTAATTGTTGCATTAGTACATTACACTGTAAGGGTAAACGTATCACATACAATGTGCTGGAAAGTTTTCCCCAGTGATACATATGGGAGTGGTCCTACCCAGTGCCAATTCCTTGTGTTCTGAAGTGAAGGTACAAAGGGCAGGGTCACCCTGCTCTTCCTTCATTTCCTTCTTATTACCCATAAACACAGCCTTGGGCAGAAAGGATACGTCTCGTGGGATCTTAAAGCTGGAAGGGACCTCGAGAAGTCATCTAATCCAGTCTCCTGCACTCAGGGCAGGACTAGTATCATCTTACCATCCTTGACAGGTGTTTGTCTAACCCGCCCTTAATAATGTCCTATGATTGAGATTCCACAACTGAATTAATTGCTGTTGCATTTGTAGCAGAAGTATCATAGTGTTTATGCTTTAAAAGTAAACTCATTTTACTTCCTCTTAATGCCATTTGTACTCATACATGAATTTCAGAGGATCTCTGTACATGTTTAAAATCAATGCACCTGAAATTGAATTAACTGGTGACAAGTTGACCTGATTGCAAAATTTCAGAAATGTTAAAAATTTCAACCAGAGCCAGTTGAAAACTGTTGTTGGCATGTTTCCAAAATGAGAGAGAGATCAGTGAAGTATTGGCCAAAGTTAAATTTAACCCAGGATGACTATTGTTCATTGTCATGGTTACTAACAGTTCATTCTCTTTGTTCTTAGGTATAAAGCCATAGTGAGACCTATGGATATCCAAGCTTCCCATGCGCTGATGAAGATTTGTCTGAAAGCTGCTATGATCTGGGTTTTATCCATGCTGCTTGCCATTCCTGAAGCTGTATTTTCTGACTTGCACCCTTTCCATGACAAAGGCACTAACAAAACCTTCATCAGCTGTGCCCCTTATCCGCATTCTGACGGGCTACATCCAAAAATTCATTCAATGGCCTCATTTCTGATCTTTTACATCATTCCTCTATCAATCATTTCAGTATATTACTATTTCATTGCTAAAAATTTGATCCGGAGTGCTTACAACATACCCGTGGAAGGAAATATACATGTTAGGAAACAGGTATGAATTTATTTGTATTGGAAAGTTGAGTATATTACTCTTGTGTGGAATGACATGAAGTTTGTACCATGAATAGAGAAACTTACTCTAGGAGAGTGTGGAAGGTCTGTTCCCATTTAGTGGCTGGACATTTGTGACTCTACTACTGTTTCCAGCTAAGAGCACTTAAAGTATGTTTATACTGGAGATGGCATAACATCTTCGTAGCTTTGATCAAGATAGAGAACTGGAAACAACAGCCTCCTGGGGTCACCAGCTGGGGTAACTAGCCCCAAGTACGATCCTGTATGGAAACCCTTGGCATGTACTCTGGGAGCTAGTTGCTCTCAAAAGTGTGGCTCAACTCCTATTTTTAGCACACTAGGTTGATCAGAGCTAGAACAGGTATGTCTGCTTGAGCTGGAAATGACATCTCCAGCTCCCGTATGCCACAACCCTTAGATCTTGTCTAAATAGGAAAGTTACACAAATTTAACCTGGATTTGTTTTTAAACTGCTTTAAACCAGTACAACCCTCTGTGTGGACTCTCCTCTTTCAATTTACATGTGGACTATTGCAGCATTGCATAAACCAATTCCCTCTTGATTTAAAGTATCTGAAGGAAGCTGCCCTTAAACTGAAATAAGTGTCAGTATGTGGTTTTGCTCTAATTTCAATAAATCAGTTTATATTCTTGCCTTGAACTGAGCTGGTGCCACTTCCTCGCAGAGGTAAGCTCTTGCCAATATACCTGAGTCACAAGAGGCCCATACTGTTATGTTTCAGACTCTACCTGAGTGGGGTTAGTTGTACAAACAGTGGCTTTACCCTTTGTCAGAAACATATATGAGCTTAATTTCTTGAACCTTAAGAAGTTTTTCCACCATTAGTTTTAAGGTAGCACCATATGGATCGAAATATGTGCTTTCAGTACAGTAAAGTGGGTGGATTTCACAAAGTACTTATTTTACATTATTTTTGAATGCTTATAAGTCTTTTCCCCACCTCTCCGACCTTTCTGCCAGGTTGATGACTGCTTTGGTTACCGTCTAAAGTGCGCTAGAAATATAGAGTCACTTCTCCTTTGTCCTTTCCCCCTACGTTTTGTTTACAGAATAATAAAGATAGCAAAAAGTGAGTCTGGTCAAGCTGAGTCAGTCAATGATTTCAGTCCTCTAGTGCACTCTGTAGCCATCGTTCTTTGTCTGAGATAAGTGATATTGATTTCTTTATTGCATTGCTTCCTTTTGCCATAGTGTAGATGTGGGCCACAATAGCTTCAATATCAAATTAAGGCTACATTAAAGTATATATATAAATACAGTTCACTCATGGAGAGACTTATCCTACAGGATTGAATTTACAGTTAGATCTTTGGGGATGTTTGACTGTCATCTGGTACATGTCAATCTTTTCGGAATTCAAAAACTACTCTTCAGCTTATGGAATTAAAGGAACATGAAATAAAGCCATGATGCACAATGCCAGTGTCTTCTTGCCTGTTCCATGCTAGCTTCTATCACAGGAAAAGATCTACTTTTTGTGAACAGCTTAATTCTCAATTTACTTATAGTGCTTTGGGAAGTAATTATCTAACTCAAAAAGTCTCAAAGGGTACAGTGTTAGTCTGTAACTTTAAAAATTAGTAGTCCTGTGGCACTTTATAGACTAACAAAAATATATATAGTATCATGAGCTTTCATAGGTAAAACCTATTTCTTCAGATGATTCCTCTCCAGCTCATCTGATGAAGTAGGTTTTGCCCACAAAAGCTCACGATATTATAGATATTTTTGTTAGTCTCTGTCACAGGACTTTCATACCTCAAATGAGACCTATCTAACTATGCGGTCTCTAATGTGTCACAGGACTTTCATACCTCAAATGAGACCTATCTAATTATGCTTCAGTTTTATAAGGGTGACAGCTGAGATTTTGAATATGCCTGCTCAGCAAAAGTGATTCATGGGCTACTCTGTCCAAACTAGAGGGTAACAAAAGCAGCGAAGGCATCACAGCAACAATTTTACAGCTGGTAGTGTAAGCCCCGCATGGACCCTGAGTGTGTAATCATCTTACTAACCCATGCTGTGCTGTCTTCACTGCTATTGTTACCCATATTTGCTGGAGTCAGCCATGCTCAGTGAAGCAAGCCTGTGCACAGTTTTTGCTATGTAGGTATATCCAGAGTTTCAACTCTCACCCTCCTCAAGTGTAGCAATCAGAACTGAGCCCATTACTTTGCAAGGACCAGAATGTACCTCGCAGCTGCATGGGAACGGAACACTGGGATGGGCACAGATGGTGCTTCACAATGTGAAGACTCACAGGTGGAGCTAGCAACAAGAGCCACACTAAGAGGGGAGGGGAAGAGGTAGGGCATGACCCCAAGAGGCATGCATACGACAGCCTCTTAAGACCCTCTGTGCCACCAAGATACAGGAGGCATTGCAGCTCCCATTTTGCAATGCTGTCCAGAGGTTCCCGAGGTGGAGCAGTTGTATCTTCCTCTTTTGGATGGTGGATCCCATCTAAGGTCTTGTCTGCACTATGCCAATAGGTATGTTTTTACAATGAGAGAGATCATGCTGTATCACCCTACTGGGCAGGTTGTAACTTTAGAGGTGTTCAGGGTGAACTCTAGGCTCCCTCGCAGGATTGTCCCTTAAGCTTCACCTTTCCTCACTAAATCAATATACAACTGTAGCTTGCCCTGTCTGTGTAGCATGTTAACTGTCATGTGAACAGAATACAGCTTTTGCTAGTGTAGACCAGGCCTCAGAGAGTTTGTCCTTCCATTGCAACTTGGCCTTCTCCATCATAGTACAAACTGGGAGGTTGGGAAAGCCATTTACGACATATGCCCTGTGACAAACTAGGGGACCTGTCTGTGCAACTTATGAATGGTAGATGGTATTATTAAATTGTATCATGAAATTTCTGTATCATGGAAAGCCTACAGTCACCATTGCTGACAAGACATGCAACTGGTATTCACTAGATGAAGGGCAATGGGGAATACTTAACATTAATGATGCTTGTTTGACCACACAAAAATGATCCCACGGAGTGCGTGCAACTTAGGGGAAAGCCATTTTACCCATCTTATCGGGGGCGGGGAGGGGGAGGAGAAGGGGACTGTTTTCTGGAGAAAAGTTACCAAACACAGAAGAAAGTAACCCAAGGGACTAGGAGGGGTTTACATAGGGAAATACAAAAGAAGCTTGGAGGGAGAGAAAGGAAGCTACAGGAGCTGGGGAAGAAGACTCCATGAAGGAGAAACAATGATCTTGCCTGATGATGAGCAGAGTCTGCATACCATGTGGTCCCTAGTAGTATCACATCTATGCTCTGTGCAGTGTGCTAGGCAGCCCCCAGCATCATGACTAATAAGTTGCTGGTTCTTGGACTTCTGCTGATCATGGTGAGATTAGTAATATACTATCACTGAGCATTAGGTTGACCTGTGTTTTATCTGTAGATAGAAGACATATTTTAGTTGCTAAAGTCTTGCGCTGTCCAGACCCTTCTGCATTAACAGTCTCATTTCCCCCGGCCACTCCCTTGTGATAGGAACAGTAATGCACTTCCAGTTCCACCACCTTTTTGCCAAAGTGAGGAATGTTTGCTAATTTATTTTTCTCTGTGTTCTTTTTAGATCGACTCGCGTAAGCGTCTGGCCAAGACAGTGTTGGTGTTTGTGTGCCTCTTTGCTTTCTGCTGGCTTCCTAATCACATTATTTATTTATACCGGTCCTACCATTATTCAGAGGTAGACACCTCAATGTTGCACTTCATCACCAGCATCTGTGCTCGAATCCTGGCCTTTGCTAACTCTTGTGTAAACCCTTTTGCTCTCTACTTGCTCAGCAAAAGTTTTAGGAAACAGTTCAACAACCAGCTGTTGTGCTGCAGAACGCGTCTCCTCATCAGGTCCCAAAGCATGGGCAGAAGCACCACTCGAATGACCTCTCTCAAGAGCACCAACCATTCAGTAGCCACGTTCAGCCTCATCAACGGCAACCACGTCTGTCATGAAGGCTGTGTATAGAGCACCTGGCAGGGGACAGCTTTGGAAACTGTCACGCAGTGTAGTTAGCATGGCTGCCGGCTCTGCTTTGCAGGGATAATGAGTAGCATACATGCATAGAGACATCAGCTGCATTCCAGCACTTCCAGGGGCCTGGGTTTTCATTCACAGCTGAAGCGCTGTTCTACGCAGCAGCTCCCTTAGGGCCTGACACCATCATAGTGAACAACTCATGTGCTGTGCCAAACGCCTTTCATGCCTACTTATTTTAACAAGAGTTCAGTGCACTCGTCCCCTGTAAGATCAGTCCTTCACTGGTGTGGAGCCAAATCTTGAGGTCCATAGTTTTGCCTCAGTTTTGATTCAGGCAGACTCCAAATTCAGTCACATAAAAACTATGTAAGAGATCCAAGATTTGTCCCATTGTTTGCAGAAAATGCTTCATGGGGATTTACTCTGTCATGTTTTTTGGCTGATGTGAATTCATCTAGATGAGAGAGACCCTTTTAAAAAAAAATAAAATTAGACCATTTCCTAGAGCTGTTAAATATTTATAAATGTTTTGAGTACAGTATTCTTAGCATAAAAAGACTTTAACAGTGTTGTTTACTGGGGTGTGTTGCCCCATCTGAAATGAGCAGTATCTTGTACATTACCAATGGAAAGCGGTAATATTTGAATAAATGTGAGTTAGAAGATGTTTACAGTTTGAGAGTGCACATTTTGCCATACTGCAGAAGGGAAAACACAGCTCTTTGAGAGTTACTGACTACTCTGCTCTTCTCTCTGGGGTGCAAAATAATGAGGGTTATGTTATTAAATGAGTAATACAGAATTTTAGTTGTGTTTGATTCCGGATGAACAATGAATGTCAAAGTAAGCACAGAAGTGCTTCATGGAGGATGAATGTCAAAGTAAGCACAGAAGTGCTTCATGGGGATGTATTGTACCACGAATGACATTAAAAACTCAAGTCCTGGTGTCACACCCATTACAGCAACTTTCAACTTGTACTTCCACTGAATTCAGTGGAATTACACTGATGTAAAACTGGTGGACAATCAGGTTTTCAGTATTTTCTACTCCCTGCTGGTTGTAGAACCATGACATCCATTATTTTTAGCATAGAAAGATAATGTGCCACAAATACCACAGATTGCAAATCCTGCTTTAACATAAGGAAAAATCCAACTCCCTTTGAAATAAGTGGGATACAGATCAAGCTTTTCAGTTACAAAGCAAAATGGCGCACGTGAGAGAAGAATTTGAACGTTAGAGCCATGAATGCTGATGGTGCATCTTGGTGTGAGAGAAAAACGTCAAAGACAAAGGGAGAATGAAATTAGAGCCGTGAATGCTGATGGTGTATCTTGGTGTGAGCGGAAAACGTCAAAGACAAAGGGAGAATGAAACCAGCCAAACTTTGTGGTAAATTTGTATTGACTATGCAGAAATGTAATATAATGGTTGTAGCATGACCAGAGCAAATTTCCCAGTGCTCATTTAGTTCAGTAGGAGGTTCTGCCAGCTTGCCTGCTGGGTATATGTTGGATGTGGAGCAGTTCAGAAGGGTTATTTTCCTTCTGTTTCAGTCTACGTGAGTGTCCTCTATATTTCAGTCTGGGGGTTGTATTAGCTCAGAATTCACAGCTGTAGAAACTAGTTTTGCCTGGTATAGATGTGAAACCATGACACTGGGCCCAGGTTTGGGAACTTTTGAAAGACTCTGGGATGCATTTCAAGCAGTTCATTAAATCCCAAATGAGGGGAATGTGTGTGGTTTTGAATTTTGCAATGAACATTTTCCATACTCTAGTAATTAAGTAAATTAAAGTAATGTGAATTAGTAAACATGATGAAAAAAACTGTTTACGTTTAACCAATGTTGAGCAGTACCTTATAGAATGATTACTTTCCACCTGATTGACTTCAGATGGACCTAGCTGTAAATCAGGTAACTACTTTAGTGTATATTATGCATCAGTGTGGTACTAACTGAGGGTACATCTAGACTGTGGGGGTTTTCTAGGATACTGGAGGTATCCCGGAAAAACTCCATCAGGTCCAGGGAACACATTTGCTCTTCCGCCTTTTTTTGTGAAAGAGCAAACTCACTCTTTTGGGGAGCCCTGTATACCTTGTTCTACGAGGAATAAGGGCTCCTCCGAAAGAGGAGGCTTGTCCACCATTTGGCTCCATCTAGACTGGACCAAATGGCGGAAAAGCCTCTTTCAGAAAAGCAATCTGCCAGAAAAAGGCTATAGTGTAGATCTAGACTGATTAGCATTGGTTTTCACCTTTTTACTGCAAGTACGGGTACTGAGATCTGTGAGGTTAGCTGTTGAGAGATTTTTTGTTCTGATTTTAAAAGTACTTTCCTCAAAGTGCAAACAACAGCTAGCAGTTTGTTCTTCAAAAGCCAACACACTAATTTTGATGCAAAAGATATATAAGATAATACAGAAAAAGAAGAGAGTTCTTTCTAGTTACAAATTCATGTATGACAGTCTGTTACTGTATTCTTCTGATGACCCTGTTTTCATCTGCCCTTCTAGAACTGGTCAAAGATATATGTGCGTGCGCGCGCGCGCATGTGTGTTTGCGTTCACTCACGCTTGCTGAAGATTTCAACTTTTCATCAAAAATTTAAAAACTTTACAAAGTTTTGGTTTTTAGAAACTGCAAACCAAAACATTTTGACTGAAAATTGAGAAAGTCTTGGGGTCTGAAAGGAAGAAAGACCAGATTTTGGGTTTCTAACATAAAAATTGAAGAAAGTGTCTACTTTCCTCAAAATAGTCTTCATTTAATAAAAACACAAGTTTTCCATTGTAAAACATTTTGATCAAAAATTTTCTGATGGCAAAGAAATGAAATGGGCTATCCCAGACAGATTTTTCAATTATGTTTTCTTGGAAATTTGAAATTTTTATAAGAGACAAAGAACAATTTTTTTTCTCAAGTCTTCTTGTCTGTCTGAGCCTGGTGCTTGTTTTTGGCCCACCATTGCACTAATGTAATAGAAAAACACAGCCTGGGACATGAAAGACGGAGACTTCTAAAGGTTTTTCTTAAGAACAATGAAATATTTAGGATTGTATTTTTTGTAGTCTATTACTTATCTCAATACCCCCGTTTCAAAAACATGATGCAATTTTTCACATGACTACAAATGTCTGAATCCCAATCTTATTGAAATCAATACAAAATTTACTATTGATTTCAGTAAGACCATGGATTTGGCCAAGATGCAGTCTCAGGAAATTTGGAGGGGTTGCTGGTTTGGCTTGAATTGGTTTTGTTTATTTGTTTTTGCTTTTTAAAAAACAAATGGGACTTTAGAAACCGTTCACCCCAGGTCAGGATTTCAAACACACATACCCCAAATTTCCCATATCTGGGAAATTTCAAAATAAAACATTTTCCAGAAACTGGAAATCCCGAGTTTTGATTGCTCCCTCAACTCCCCTTGAAGTCAGTGAAAGACAAATATCCTCCTGGTCTTGCAAGACTGAGCTAAACATTGCATTGATTTGGAATTATTTTTTTAGAATTGCTTATAAGAAAAACACCAGAAACAATCTAAAAAGACAAGAAAAGCTCTGCAACTGAAAGGTATAAATCCAGCTCTTTCATTCATCATGCCACTCTGTACCTTTGGAGTAACTGAGACCCAGTGTTTCTAAACATAGTGCTAGGAAATGTGAATTACAGATCATCAAATGTTTGCGCTGCATGGCAACAATAATTAAACAAGCATATGGTGGAATAAAATGGTGATATTGTTGAACCCAAATATTTATTTTGGGCAGAAAAATATGCCATCTACTCGGAGCCGTGATTTCTTACTTTTCATTAAAAGGAAGCATTTTGATCAGTATGGAAGTAAAGTTATGGTCATAGACTAGACAGATGGTATTTTCCAGGCATGATTTGGCAAAAGAGAATTCCATTATTGCTTGTGCCACTGTCCCTCTGCCCACCCTCCTCCCCCTTCAAAAAAAAAGAAGCAGCAATTTTAGAGCAGAAAATCTGTATTTACTCCAGGAGAAAAATCTGTCCTTCAGTTTAGCTCAGGTTTGGCCTCTAAGGGCATGAATTTTATTGCTGCTAAATAAGCAATAAGCAATCCATTGAAAGTTGAATGTGTGGTTATTATTTGCAATGTTATGCATCATTATCACAATCTAGCTTAGAGTACATCTCCTATGGAACCATATAAAATGTGATTATATAATTTTTTTCAATGTTGGTTAACCCATATATAGTATTGGTCAAGAGAAAAGAGCCAACTCTTCAGGGACACAAAGAAGTATACAGAAGACATATTTTAAAAATCAAATGCTTCCTGCTTCTCTACTTTGTGATATGACCTGCACTTCATCCAATTTCTAATGGTACCACTTTCTATAATCTCTCAAGATAAAACACATATTAGTTAGCCAAGCAACCATACTAGATTGCTGTTAAAGAGGTAGTTGACTTGAAGGTCACTTAAATCTGTATTTAGGATCAGAAATATATACAATTTGCCATTACTGAAAGGATGTAGTTTGCCAAGTATTTGTATTTTGTTTTGTACAGTTCATGGGTCAGTTTCTGCTTTTAGTTACACTATTCATACAAACATAATTAAAGCTGGTTCAGAGCTATACAGCCTAGATCAGATTTTGCTTTCTGTTACGTGATTGTAACTGAGAACAGATGCTGGCTCGGGAGTTATAGCACTGACTGAACCCCAGTTACATTAATCAATGGCAATCATCCTAACAGAGAACACATGGCCTTTAAAATACTAGAACCAGGCATGGAATCCGAGTAATAGAAATTTAGTAAAGTTTTAAGTCCCCAATTCTGCAAAGATGTACATGTGTTTAACTTAAGGCACATGCACAGCTCTTTGAAGGATCAGGACTTAAGAAATTATATGTATTGAATCAAAAACAGATCAATGTTAATCTTTCTATATTACACATCATGCGGTATGTCTAGACTACATGGCTCTGTCGATGGAGCCATGTAGATAAGGTTTCTAGACATAGGGAAATGAAGCAGCGATTTAAATAATCACCACTTCATTTACATCAAAACGGCTGCCGCGCTGTGCCGATCAACTGTTTGGCGGCACAGCGTGGTAGTCTGGACGCTCCGCGGTTGACAAGGGAAGCCCTTGTAAACCGCCCTGTTATGCCTCATGGAATGAGGTTTACTGGGGCAGTTGACAAGGGAAGCCCTTGTCAACCGCGGAGAGTCCAGACTACTGTGCTGTGCCGCCAAACAACTGATCGGCACAGAGAGGCAGCCATTTTTATGTAAATGAAGCAGCGCTTATTTACGGGGCAGTCGACAAGGGCTTCCCTTGTCGACCGTGGAGCATCCAGACTACTGCGCTGTGCCGCCAAACAGTTGATCAGCATAGCGCGGCAGCCATTTTGTTGTAAATGAAGCGACAATTATTTAAATTGCCGCTTCATTTCCCTTTTTCGAGTACACTAATCTACTTGGCTCCATCGACGGAGCCATGTAGTTTAGATGTACCCATAATGATTAGTTCACTGGGAATTGTAGGCCTGCATTGCACCATGGTTAACAAAAGGACTTTTTTACAAGTCTCTAAGGGTACGTCTACACTACCACCCTAGTTCGAACTAGGGTGGTAGTGTAGACGTACCCTAACTTTATAAAATCATATCCAAAACCTCTCATTTTTTCAAGTATATAATAGCTTGTTTCTGGAAATATCTACTTAGATAATATGTGCAATTAGTTTGCTTGAGTAGTCACAATAAGTGGAGCCATGAGGGTAGAATTATGGATTAAATCCATTTTAGTATAAATAAAATGCAAAAGCTTTGTATTTAGTA